GCACATATTCAGGTCGACATACCTCAATATGTGCATGCATGGCTCTAACGTCCTCAGTCAGAGGGAGCAGGTCCGGAGTGTTCCACTTGGCTTGCCGGAGGGTCTGTAGGGCAGCAGAAGAAACACAGACGTCCCACCTCTTCTCAAAAAGCAGCCGGCTTCGTTGGAGGTTTTTAATAAATAGTTCATCAACACAATGCTCCATTTTTGAGTCACATTCAAGAATATCTGCTAGCTTTCTGAGGCTATGGCCGAGTTTGAGGGCCAAGGATGGAGTCTTGTATTGATTTGTTTCCTCATCATATCCAGCCACAGACCTGACTGCATCAATCACATGGTTAAAGTTGGAAGGAATAAAGAAATCCTTAATTGTTTTCAGTTTCCCTGCGGTTTTTGCTTCGTTAATTAACCTACCGACTTCTCTCATTTTCTTCCTAATGTAATCATGCTTAGTCTTATCATGCCCGTGTTTTAAGTACAGGTGCTCTCCGAGTCTCAGAATCCCCTTTTCTGCTTTGACAACACCCGTGACCTCATCCTGATGCATTGCCGAAATTAAAGACCACAGCTTTTTGCTGATGCCCTCCGGTACAGGCTGGGCTAGGGAGCAGAGGGACTGGACCCTACTTCTACCTGGTTTAGCCTGGGCATCTTTCTGTGAAAGCCGGCACCTGGCCACATGCCTCCACAGCGACTTTCGCTTAAGCAATGCCCCACAGTCTATACAGTGCAAAAACTCACTGGATTTAACTGGGGAATTTGGCTGTTTTAGCTGGGACTAAAGTTCCAATGCCGGCCTTTAAAACCTCAAAATTGTGCTCACGGTTTCCACTATTCCTGATCAAATCAAACTGAAGTTTACGTGCTTTAGATTTCACAAGTACAGCCAATGCTCTGGCTACGTCACTTTCATTTCCATGTTTTCTAGTCAAATGACGGGACATTTTGTGGCAGGACATTGAACAGTAGAGGCAGAAGTGTCTCTTGCTGTAAACCCTGCCCCCATTTTTCTTCTTTTGCAGCTGCATGATAACAATCTTATTTGCCTTTGGTTCGTCACTTTCCAAGTCTTGAAGAAAAGTGTTTTTGATTTTTCTTTTTCCATACTTTTTTACAGGTTTCTTCTTGACAGTTAAATCGTCAGAATCTGAGTCGACTTCATCAATTTGGGACTCTTGACTAAGCTGCACAAACAACAAATAATTTGTAATAATTCTATATAACAATTTGAAGTCATGACTTGTAGTCAGCACTTACCAGTGGGTTGTAAGCGTGCGCTTCAGTGTGCTCCTCCATGATGTCTTGCAGCCTAATGAACCACACACTTGCACCTTTTCACCTGACTTCCTCTGTTGTGCTGCTCCATGATTGGCTCCAGCCTGCTGGACTGAAATTGCCCCAGTGTGCCCCTCCCTGATATCCCGCAACCCACCACCAGGGTTCCGACACATAACACACTTTTTTCAGGAAAGTAAACCTCCAGGGGTCCTTTCCATATTTTTACAGAGACTGCATAAGGACTGTTAGAAAAGCATTACCCATAGATTATTAAGCTTGAACCAGTGGGGTCCGGTGTTCGGGCCCCACCACGTAAAACCAGTCCCCATGACGTGAGTGGAATCTCAGGTTATGGATCTCTCTCTGGTCTCTCTCTGGTCCCTCTCTGGTCTCTCTCTGGTCTCTCTGGTATCCCTCCCTCCCTCTGGTTTCTCCCTTTTCCTGATCATTACCTCTCAGCTCTTTCTCTCTCTCTCTGATCTTTCGCTGGTCTCTCTCTCTCTGATCTTTCTCTCTCTCTCTGGTCCCTCTCTCTCTCTCTCTCTCTGGTCCCTCTCTTTCTCTCTGGTCTTTCGCTGGTCTCTCTCTCTCTGGTCTCTCTCTCTCTCTGGTCCCTCTCTCTCTCTCTCTGGTCTCTCCATCTCTGGTCTCTCTCTCTCTGGTCACTCTCTCTGGGTCTCTCTCTGGTCTCTCTCTGGTCTCTCTCTGGTCTCTCTCTCTGGTCTCTCTCTCTGGTCTCTCTCTGGTCTCTCTCTCTGGTCTCTCTCTCTGGTCTCTCTCTCTGGTCTCTCTCTCTGGTCTCTCTCTCTGGTCTCTCTCTCTGGTCTCTCTCTCTGGTCTCTCTCTGGTCTCTCTCTCTGGTCTCTCTCTGGTCTCTCTCTCTGGTCTCTCTCTGGTCTCTCTCTCATGGGTCTTATGCATGTGGAAGTGAGGAGAGTGGAATAAAGATCTAGTCCATCTTTTACCTATTGTAGAGTGAATTATTATTTTATCTGTAGTCTCGTCTCTCTCGTCTCTCTCTCTCTGGTCTCTCTCTCTCTGGTCTCTCTCTCTCTGGTCTCTCTCTCTCTGGTCTCTCTCAGGTCACTCTCTGGTCTCTCTCGTCTCTCTCTCAGGTATCTCTCTCAGGTCTCTCTCTGGTCACTCTCTGGTCTCTCTCGTCTCTCTCTCAGGTATCTCTCTCAGGTCTCTCTCGCTGGTCTCTCCTTAAACCAGGTTTTCTTCCTGTTGGACTGAAACATTAAAATCATAAATATTCTGTATTCAAGAATCTTCCTGTAACTTAAAGGGGACATAATGTGCGAAACGTTGTTCTGGTTCTGGTTCCTCAGTATAGCACAGTGCAGGTGTGTGTGTGTTCGTTGTGCAGTCTGACAGCCCTCTCCCTGCTCCTCACAGGCCCCGTCCTCGCTGGAGCTGCTGGCCTCTCTGGCTCCTGAGGCCTTCTCCATGGAGGGGGGGGGGACGGGCAAACAGCGGGTCACCAAACAGAGCTTCCTGCACCCGGCCGAGGGACAGGGTCTGCACGGGTCCAGACCCAGGGAGGAGGGAGACCCGCTCAGCAGCCTGGACCCCCTCTGGACCCTCAGCAAGACCTAGACACCATCTCTCTGGTCTCTCTCTCTGGTCTCTCTCTCTGGTCTCTCTCTGGTCTCTCTCTCTGGTCTCTCTCTCTGGTCGCTCTCTGGTCGCTCTCTGGTCGCTCTCTCTGGTCGCTCTCTGGTCGCTCTCTCTGGTCGCTCTCTGGTCGCTCTCTCTGGTCGCTCTCTGGTCGCTCTCTCTGGTCGCTCTCTGGTCGCTCTCTCTGGTCGCTCTCTCTGGTCTCTCTCTGGTCTCTGTCTCTCTGGTCTCTCTCTCTCTGGTCTCTCTCTCTGGTCTGTCTCTCTGGTCTCTCTCTCTGGTCGCTCTCTGGTCGCTCTCTGGTCTCTCTCTCTGGTCTCTCTCTCTGGTCTCTCTCTCTGGTCTCTCTCTCTGGTCTCTCTCGGGTCTTTCTCTCTGCTCTCCCTCTCTCTCTGGTCTCTCTCTCTGGTCTCTCTCAAAGATACAAACTAGCTTCATAAACCTGTGACTTTATAGATTTGAACACAGACAGAGAGAGAAACCCTATGATCTGAATATTAGTCTTGGTTTGATCAGTTTGAAGCTGCTCTTTGCTGCAGAATCATCTCCGTCGATTCTCGGATCTGACTGTTTCAGATTCTCTTTTAGAAGCAAAGCTAACATTAGCCTTTTCCTCTTGTGTTTAGTGATTCTGTGGGATCTACTTCTGCACATTTTTAAATGATTGTGATTCAAACTAAAATGACCCGAGTTTAAGTCTCAGAACTCAGTCCTGTTTTTACAACAAACCTCATTCAGTCACTGGTTTTACCGGAGTCGAATGGGTAATACATCTGTGGCCTCTGCTCTCTCTCTCTCTGGTCTCTCTCTGCTCTCTCTGGTCTCTCTGCTCTCTCTCTCTTCTCTGTCTCTGCTCTCTCTTTGCTCTCTCTCTTTGCTCTCTCTCTCTGGTCTCTCTATGCTCTCTCTGGTCTCTCTGCTCTCTCTCTGCTCTCTCTCTCAACTCTCTCTGGTGTCTCTGGTCTCTCTCTCTCTACTCTCTCTCTGGTCTCTCCGCTCTCTCTCTCTGGTCTCTCTGCTCTCTCTCTCTCTCGTTCTCTGTCTCTCTCTGCTTTTACCATTGCGCTCTTATTCCCCAGAGTAAAACAGTCAAGTCCAGATGAATATTCAGACTTATTTTTGCAGTGTCTGTGGTTCTGTTGTGACTGACAGAGGGCAGTGTCTGTGGTTCTGTTGTGACCGGCAGAGGGCAGTGTCTGTGGTTCTGTTGTGACCGACAGAGGGCAGTGTCTGTGGTTCTGTTGTGACCGACAGAGGGCAGTGTCTGTGGCTCTGTTGTGACCGACAGAGGGCAGTGTCTGTGGTTCTGTTGTGACCGGCAGAGGGCAGTGTCTGTGGTTCTGTTGTGACCGACAGAGGGCAGTGTCTGTGGCTCTGTTGTGACTGACAGAGGGCAGTGTCTGTGGTTCTGTTGTGACCGGCAGAGGGCAGTGTCTGTGGTTCTGTTGTGACCGACAGAGGGCAGTGTCTGTGGTTCTGTTGTGACCGACAGAGGGCAGTGTCTGTGGCTCTGTTGTGACTGACAGAGGGCAGTGTCTGTGGTTCTGTTGTGACCGACAGAGGGCAGTGTCTGTGGCTCTGTTGTGACTGACAGAGGGCAGTGTCTGTGGCTCTGTTGTGACTGACAGAGGGCAGTGTCTGTGGTTCTGTTGTGACCGACAGAGGGCAGTGTCTGTGGCTCTGTTGTGACTGACAGAGGGCAGTGTCTGTGGCTCTGTTGTGACTGACAGAGGGCAGTGTCTGTGGTTCTGTTGTGACCGACAGAGGGCAGTGTCTGTGGTTCTGTTGTGACCGACAGAGGGCAGTGTCTGTGGCTCTGTTGTGACTGACAGAGGGCAGTGTCTGTGGCTCTGTTGTGACTGACAGAGGGCAGTGTCTGTGGTTCTGTTGTGACCGGCAGAGGGCAGTGTCTGTGGTTCTGTTGTGACCGACAGAGGGCAGTGTCTGTGGCTCTGTTGTGACCGACAGAGGGCAGTGTCTGTGGTTCTGTTGTGACCGACAGAGGGCAGTGTCTGTGGTTCTGTTGTGACCGACAGAGGGCAATGTCTGTGGTTCTGTTGTGACCGACAGAGGGCAGTGTCTGTGGTTCTGTTGTGACCGGCAGAGGGCAGTGTCTGTGGTCTGTTGTGACCGACAGGGGGCAGTGTCTGTGATTCTGTTGTGACTGACAGAGGGCAGTGTCTGTGGTTCTGTTGTGACCGATAGAGGGCAGTGTCTGTGGTTCCGTTGTGACTGACAGGGGGTAGTGTCTGTGGTTCTGTGGGTGCCTTACGTTTGATCCAAAAACCCGTTCATGTTAAACACGAGTCTCTGATCTTTCTGTCGCTGACGTCATTGTTTCTCACTTTTATTAAATTATATTTAATTTTCTTCAGTTGTTTTAAACTTAGCTCTGTCACTGTCGCCTCGTGATTAACTGACAAATAAAGAATATTTTGATACAAAGACTGGAGTTTTTCATGTTTTCTGTGAATGTGCCACGGTGTCTGTGACTCACAGCTGCTCCATGGTCTGCGTTCAGGAGGTTCACAGACATAAACCATCAGCTCTGTTACTCAGGGGTAACACAGGTACACTCAGAGGTAACACAGGTACACTCAGAGTTAACACAGGTACACTCAGAGGTAACACAGGTACACTCAGGGGTTACTCAGGTACACTCAGAGGTAACACAGGTACACTCGGAGGCAACACAGGTACACTCAGAGGTAACACAGGTACACTCAGAGGTAACAGGTACACTCAGAGATAACACAGGTACACTCAGGGGTAACACAGGTACACTCAGGGGTAACACAGGTACTCTCAGAGCTAACACAGGTACACTCAGGGGTAACACAGGTACACTCAGAGGTAACACAGGTACACTCAGGGGTTACTCAGGTACACTCAGAGGTAACACAGGTACACTCGGAGGCAACACAGGTACACTCAGAGGTAACACAGGTACACTCAGAGGTAACACAGGTACACTCAGAGGTAAAACAGGTACACTCAGGGGTAACACAGGTACACTCAGAGGTAACACATGTACACTCAGGGGTAACACAGGTACACTCAGAGGTAACACAGGTACACTCAGAGATAACACAGGTACACTCAGGGGTAACACAGGTACTCTCAGAGCTAACACAGGTACACTCAGGGGTAACACAGGTACACTCAGAGGTAACACAGGTACACACAGGGGTAACACAGGTACACTCAGAGATAACACAGGTACACTCAGAGGTAACACAGGTACACTCAGAGGTAACACAGGTGCACTCAGATAACACAGGTACACTCAGGGGTAACACAGGTACACTCAGAGATAACACAGGTACACTCAGGGGTAACACAGATACACTCAGGGGTAACACAGGTACACTCAGGTACACTCAGGGGTAACAGGTACACTCAGAGGTAAAACAAGTACACTCAGGGGTAACACAGGTACACTCAGGGGTTACCCTGAGTGTACCTCAGGGTTACCCCTGAGTGTACCTGTGTTACCCCTGAGTGTACCTGTGTTACCTCCAAGTGTACCTGTTTTACCTCTGTGTGTACCTGTGTTACCTCTGAGTGTACCTGTGTTACCCCTGAGTGTACGTGTTACCTCTGAGTGTACCTGTGTTTTCTCTGAGTGTACCTGTGTTACCCCTGAGTGTACCTGTGTTACCTCTGAGTGTACCTGTGTTGCCTCCGAGTGTAACCGAGTTACCTCTGAGTGTACCTGTGTTACCTCCGAGTGTACCTGTGTTAACTCCGAGTGTACTCGAGTTACCTCTGAGTGTACCTGTGTTACCTCTGAGTGTACCTGTGTTACCTCTGAGTGTACCTGTTTTACCACTGAGTGTACCTGTGTTATCTCTGAGTGTACCTGTGTTACCTCTGAGTGTACCTGTGTTACCTCTGAGTGTACCTGTGTTAACCCTGAGTGTACCTGTGTTACCTCTGAGTGTACCTGTGTTACCTCTGAGTGTACCTGTGTTACCCCTGAGTGTACCTGTGTTACCTCTGAGTGTACCTGTGTTACCCCTGAGTGTACCTGTGTTACCCCTGAGTGTATCTGTGTTACCCCTGAGTGTACCTGTGTTACCCCTGAGTGTACCTGTGTTATCTCTGAGTGTACCTGTGTTACCCCTGAGTGTACCTGTGTTACCTCTGAGTGTACCTGTGTTACCCCTGAGTGTACCTGAGTGTACCTGTGTTACCCCTGAGTGTACCTGTGTTATCTCTGAGGGTACCTGTGTTACCTCTGAGTGTACCTGTGTTACCCCTGAGTGTACCTGTGTTACCTCTGAGTGTACCTGTGTTACCTCTGAGTGTACCTGTGTTACCTCTGAGTGTACCTATATTACCCCTGAGTGTACCTGTGTTACCTCTGAGTGTACCTGTGTTAACTCTGAGTGTACCTGTGTTACGTCTGAGTGTACCTGTGTTATCTTTGAGTGTACCTGTGTTACCCCTGAGTGTACCTGTGTTACCCCTGAGTGTACCTGTGTTACCTCTGAGTGTACCTGTGTTAACTCTGAGTGTACCTGTGTTGCCTCCGAGTGTACCTGTGTTACCTCCGAGTGTACCTGTGTTACCTCTGAGTGTACCTATGTTACCCCTGAGTGTACCTGTGTTACCTCTGAGTGTACCTGTGTTACCTCTGAGTGTACCTGTGTTACCCCTGAGTGTACCTGAGTGTACCTATGTTACCCCTGAGTGTACCTGTGTTACCTCTGAGTGTACCTGTGTTACCCCTGAGTGTACCTGTGTTACCCCTGAGTGTACCTGTGTTACCCCTGAGTGTACCTGTGTTACCTCTGAGTGTACCTGTGTTAACTCTGAGTGTACCTGTGTTGCCTCCGAGTGTACCTGTGTTACCTCCGAGTGTACCTGTGTTACCTCTGAGTGTACCTGTGTTACCCCTGAGTGTACCTGAGTGTACCTATGTTACCCCTGAGTGTACCTGTGTTACCTCTGAGTGTACCTGTGTTACCTCTGAGTGTACCTGTGTTACCCCTGAGTGTACCTGAGTGTACCTATGTTACCCCTGAGTGTACCTGTGTTACCTCTGAGTGTACCTGTGTTACCCCTGAGTGTACCTGTGTTACCTCTGAGTGTACCTGTGTTATCTCTGAGTGTACCTGTGTTACCTCCGAGTGTACCCGTGTTACCTCCGAGTGTACCTGTGTTACCTCGAGTGTACCCGAGTTACCTATGAGTGTACCTGTGCTACCTCCGAGTGTACCCGAGTTACCTCTGAGTGTACCTGTGTTACCCCTGAGTGTACCTGTGTTACCCCTGAGTGTACCTGTGTTACCTCCGAGTGTACCCGAGTTACCTCTGAGTGTATCTGTTTTTCCTCTGAGTGTACCTGTGTTACCCCTGAGTGTACCTGTGTTACCCCTGAGTGTACCTGTGTTACCTCCGAGTGTACCCGAGTTACCTCTGAGTGTACCTGTGTTACCCCTGAGTGTACCTGTGTTACCTCCGAGTGTACCCGAGTTACCTCTGAGTGTACCTGTGTTACCTCCGAGTGTACCTGTGTTACCTCTGAGTGTACCTGAGTTACCTCTCGGTGTACCTGTGTTACCCCTGAGTGTACCTGTGTTACCTCTGAGTGTACCTGAATGTACCTGTGTTACCCCTGAGTGTACCTGTGTTACCTCTGAGTGTACCTGTGTTACCTCTGAGTGTACCTGTGTTACCCCTGAGTGTACCTGAGTGTACCTATGTTACCCCTGAGTGTACCTGTGTTACCTCTGAGTGTACCTGTGTTACCCCTGAGTGTACCTGTGTTACCCCTGAGTGTACCTGTGTTACCCCTGAGTGTACCTGTGTTACCTCTGAGTGTACCTGTGTTAACTCTGAGTGTACCTGTGTTGCCTCCGAGTGTACCTGTGTTACCTCCGAGTGTACCTGTGTTACCTCTGAGTGTACCTGTGTTACCCCTGAGTGTACCTGAGTGTACCTATGTTACCCCTGAGTGTACCTGTGTTACCTCTGAGTGTACCTGTGTTACCTCTGAGTGTACCTGTGTTACCCCTGAGTGTACCTGAGTGTACCTATGTTACCCCTGAGTGTACCTGTGTTACCTCTGAGTGTACCTGTGTTACCCCTGAGTGTACCTGTGTTACCTCTGAGTGTACCTGTGTTATCTCTGAGTGTACCTGTGTTACCTCCGAGTGTACCCGTGTTACCTCCGAGTGTACCTGTGTTACCTCCGAGTGTACCCGAGTTACCTATGAGTGTACCTGTGCTACCTCCGAGTGTACCCGAGTTACCTCTGAGTGTACCTGTGTTACCCCTGAGTGTACCTGTGTTACCCCTGAGTGTACCTGTGTTACCTCCGAGTGTACCCGAGTTACCTCTGAGTGTATCTGTTTTTCCTCTGAGTGTACCTGTGTTACCCCTGAGTGTACCTGTGTTACCCCTGAGTGTACCTGTGTTACCTCCGAGTGTACCCGAGTTACCTCTGAGTGTACCTGTGTTACCCCTGAGTGTACCTGTGTTACCTCCGAGTGTACCCGAGTTACCTCTGAGTGTACCTGTGTTACCTCCGAGTGTACCTGTGTTACCTCTGAGTGTACCTGAGTTACCTCTCGGTGTACCTGTGTTACCCCTGAGTGTACCTGTGTTACCTCTGAGTGTACCTGAATGTACCTGTGTTACCCCTGAGTGTACCTGTGTTATCTCTGAGTGTACCTGTGTTACTTCTGTGTACCTGTGTTACCTCCGAGTGTACCCGTTACCTCTGAGTGTACCTGTGTTACCCCTGAGTGTACCTGTGTTACCTCTGAGTGTACCTGTGTAACCCCTGAGTGTACCTGTGTTACCCCTGAGTGTACCTGAGTTTACCTATGTTACCTCTGAGTGTACCTGTGTAACCCCTGAGTGTACCTGTGTTACCTTTGAGAGTACCTGTGTTACCTCTGAGTGTACCTATGTTACCCCTGTGTGTACCTGTGTTACCTCCGAGTGTACCTGAGTGTACCTGTGTTACCTCAGAGTGTGTTACCTCCGAGTGTACCTGTGTTACCACTCAGGCTCAGGCTCAGACTCAGGCTCAGGTGCTGGCTCAGGCTCCTCCCTCAGGCTCAGACTCAGGCTCCGGCTCCTCAGTCAGGCTCAGGCTCCTCCCTCAGGCTCAGGATCCTCCCTCAGGCTCAGGCTCTTCCCTCAGGCTCAGGCTCCTCCCTCAGGCTCAGGCTCAGGCTCCTCCCTCAGGCTCAGGCTCCTCCCTCAGGCTCAGGCTCCTCCCTCAGGCTCAGGCTCCTCCCTCAGGCTCAGGCTCTTCCCTCAGGCTCAGGCTCCTCCCTCAGGCTCAGGCTCAGGCTCAGACTCTGGCCCCGTCCCAATACTCGCACTTCCACCCTCGCGCCCCTCATTTGCGCGTTCCCGATAAAGGGTGCGAGTGCGTAGGGTGTCCCTCCAGGGAGGTCTTTGGCCCCGCCCCCTTTGCGCCCCTGATCCACACTTCGCCGTAGCCTGCATCTATGCACACTCTGGCGAAGGATATTGCCCATAATTCT